GGGGGGGGGGCGGGAGGGGGGGCGAGGATCATAAGGAGGAGCTAAAGCAGAGAGGGGCTGGTGACCTGCTACACAGCGAGGGTCACAGCAGAACACCTGGGTCCCTGGAGGGAAGGGGGAGGGCCCCAGGCCAGAGAAGCAGAACTGTGTCCTAGGAACTGTGATAAGCTCACTGTAGTATTCTTGTAGCCTCACAAGGGGGACAAGCGGGGTGATTACAGGAGAAGAAACTGAGGTTCAGACCACCAGTCAGTTGGCAGAGCTGAGATTGAAACAGAACTGAGATTCAAACATGAACTCCAGAGGCCCATGCTCTGTGTGGGTGACAATTGCACTTTCATTTATAAATTATGAAATGCTTCAAGCAATCAAAACAGTATACCTATTAGTGTAAGAAAGACCCACGTACCCCCTACCCAGCTTAGGAAGTAACACAAGACCTAAAACTGGGACAGACAAAGCCTCTGTACCAGCCCTCTGAGGTCACAGCCCTCCTCGCTTGCCCCAAAGGGAACCCCCTCTCAGGAACTGGGTGTCACTCACCTGCATGGGTTCCCTAATTGACTACAGATGCATGTGCCCCTAACAGCACCCAGTGTTGCTTCGCCTTTTGAAAACAAGTCAACTGTTTCATGCTACACGTTGTCATTTTCATGTCATTTCTGAGACGCAGCCGTGTTGACAAGCAGAGCTCTGCCTTTTCTCCTGCTGAATATTACTCTACCGGCTGCCTACACCACAATGTATCCGTCCCATTCTCCTGTAAATGGGCCTTCTGTTTCCCAGCTTCTGCTACCAAAAATCTCCCTGCAATAAATGTTTTCCCTATGTGTCTCCTTAGGTGCATGTGTGACTGTCCCCTAACAGCTCACAAACGTCTCAACAACCTCCTGTAATTCCCCACCCCCACTCCTCAGACCTCATCTTCCTTCCACGTGACCTAAAATGGTGCTCAAAGGTATGCGGGCCCACATAAGTGACTTTGAATCTCTGCTCCACTACTCCCAAATTGTACTACGCTGGGTAAGTGATGGCATCTCCTCTCTGGGCCTCAGTTTTCTCCTCTGTAAAATGGGGGGGGGGGTGACCTACCTTACCTACTTGTGAGGAGGCTGACTCATGTCGAGAGCCCATCATGGCTCTAACTCCTTGGGTGCTGGGGACATCAGCTCATCTCACAACAGCAGGGAGATATTCTTGCTCTAATTGCTGAGATTAAAAACGCCAAGGCTGGGGCTGTCGGCCAGCTCTGTCAATAGAGCATGCAACTCTTGATCTCAGGGTTGTGAGTTCGAGCCCCATCAAGTTGGATGTAGAGATTACTTTAAAAAAAAAAAATGTTTTAAATGCCAAGGCCCAGGGGGCACCTGGCTGGCTCAGTCGGTTAAGCATCCGACTTCAGCTCAGGTCATTATCTTGTAGTTTGTGGGTTGGGGCCCCACGTCGGGCTCTGTGCTGACAGCTCAGAGCCTGGAGCCTGCTTCATATTCTGTGCCTCCCTCTCTCTCTGCCTCTCCCCTGCTCGAGCTCTGACTCTCTCTCTGTCTCAAAAATAAATAACCATTAAAAAATTTTTCTTGGGGCGCCTGGGTGGCGCAGTCGGTTAAGCGTCCGACTTCAGCCAGGTCACGATCTCGCGGTCCGTGAGTTCGAGCCCCGCGTCGGGCTCTGGGCTGATGGCTCAGAGCCTGGAGCCTGTTTCCGATTCTGTGTCTCCCTCTCTCTCTGCCCCTCCCCCGTTCATGCTCTGTCTCTCTCTGTCCCAAAAATAAATAAACGTTGAAAAAAAAAAATTACTTTAAAAAATTTTTCTTTGCTTTTAATGCCAAGGCTTAGAAAGCCACCACCTAGTCGTAGAGCCGATCAGCCTGCCCCCATTTATTTTCATGAACATTAAGAGCAACCAACATCTACTGAGCACCTGCTATGGGCTAGGCCCTATGTTCAGAGCTGTGCATGCACAGCCCCTTTAAATCCTGGATTCCAACCTCAAGAGGTGAAGACGTGGAGGCTCAGAGAGAGGCTCAGCTTTGCCTAAGGCCAGTGACTGAACGGAGACCGGGCTCAGAACCACCACCCTGACAGGACAGATCTGTGCCTGCACACAGCAGGCACCTCAAACTCTGACTCCCTCAGGCTTCCTTCCCAGGGCTGGCCAGTGGCCGAGCCAGGCTGTGAACTGGTCTCTTTCCCCAACCCAGCAGCCTCCCCTCGGGGGAATTGCGGCCACAGGTGCAGGGAGCGGTTTCTCTCCACTCGGGGCCTGAAGCACACCGGCAGGGGCTGCCCCTGGGCCCACAGCCGAAGGGCCCAGCAGTGGGGCCATTGGAGCCCATCTCCGGCGGGGCTGGGCAGGAAGTGGGGCGGGGCTTGGGGCCAGTGAGGTGGAATCTGGTACCCCAGGACTGCTGCAGCCCAGACTAACCAACCCACTGGGAGAGATGCCTGGGGGTCCCGGAGTCCCCCAAGTGCCGTGTGCTACTATCTTTCTCCTCTTCCTAATCTCCGCTGTTGGTCTGGGTACGTGGCTAACAGGCTGGTGCTGGGGGGCCGGGGGAGGACTGGAGGCTGGAGAGAGGGCTCGGGCAGAGAGAAGGACACTAGGAGTGGGGGGAGAGGAACCGGAATGTGGGGGCGGGGGGCAGTGCTGGGAAGGCCCCTAAAGAAACTGCATCTGTCTGCTTGACTGTCCCAAGCAGGCCGCTTGGTGAGGGGGGAGGCAGGAGGGCTCTGGCCCGAGGATTGAAGGGCCTCCACGCTGACCTGTGGAAGGAGACAGGGGCGCGAGATGACTTCCCCACCCCCTCATCTCCCCCACAGGTCAGGAAATAATAAGGTTGCATATGACTGAGCTCCAGAGCTGGGGGAGAAAGAGCGGGTGAGGGCTGAGCTTCAGGGGGGAGAAACAGCTTTCTCAGCTATCGTCTCGGTCACCCCCGATGGGCTGAGAACCCCTTTTCAATGTAGGGAGGGGTTCCTCGTTGACACTGTCCTCCCAGCTGTACTGCCCCCACCGACCCCCAGCAATGCCAGCTGGTGGGGCTGTGACCACCAGGTTGCACAGGAGCCGGGCTGGGGACTGTAGCCCATGACCCTGGCTGCCTCTTTTCCCCCTCTTCCCCTCCTCTCTTCCTCACCTCCCACCTCCTCCTTCAGAGACAGGCTGGCCCGTGGGGCCAGGAGCTGAGGCCGCCCCTGTTCTTTGATGGCTCACCGTGCTGAGTCCTACCTAATCCCCAGCCCAGCCATCAACTGAACTCGCTCCTGAACCTTAAGGTTGACACAGGAAAGTTACAGAGAATAATGGGTGGGCGTGAGGGACTCTGAGGGCAAAGTGAGCAAGACTGGCAGGAAGAGGCCCAGGGCTCAGGCTTCACCAGCCACTCCCCTCCTGCCCTGATGATGAGCCTTAGATTTGCCCTCCCCAGACTCGATACACCTGTGAAGCTGGGATGAAGAACCTACCTCTGAGGGTTTGTGAAGATTACACAAGATAAGTGGCAGGCCGGGGCAGGGCTGGGGTGGTGGTGGAAGGAGGACCAGGAGGGCCTTCAGGAAGGAGGAACTGATGCCCCAAACTGATTCTGGAGGGAGCTGCCTGGGCAGGGGCACCCCTCTGCTAAGTAAATATCAAATGTAAGTGAATTCAGTGAGACTGACACAGAGCATGGGAGGGGCAAGAGAGTGCTGGAGAAGTGAGAGTGGGGACCATGAGAGTGTCCTCCCTCCTCCCCGGGGTGTCCTCACCCTCCACAGTGTGCCCTCCCTCAGCTGTACTGGAGTACAGCCTCAGTCCCCTGGCCCGTATTCACTCTAACCCACAGCCTTACTCCAATGACAACACCTCTTCCCACCCCACCCCACCCACCCCCGCCCTGCTGGGTGTCCTCAAACACGACACACACACACACACACACACACACACACACAGGCGGCTGCCCATGAGCAGGCCTGAGACCTGTGTCCCATCCACAGTCCCTGACTCCTCCGCCTCTCCATGAGTGACTGCCCTGTGGGTGGATGAGGGGCCCCTGCATCGGCCGTGAGCCTGGGGACTGCGTCACCTCAGTGTCTGCACAGCAGCGGGCGGACAGCACCTTCAACGTCACGTGGTGGTGTCCTCAGGCAATACATTATTTGATATATTCTGGAGCCAGCGAAGCCCCAACGGCGAGCTGACCATCAGCACCGTGAACAAGAGCCACATGGGCATGTACAGGTGCCAGGAGTGGAGAGAAAAGGCTAGCCATGGAGTCCTCAACTTCCTGCTCACGGCACCTACCCTCGGCGTCGCAGTGAGTGCTTGTGGCTGGCTCCGGGGTCTCCCTCCCCACAGCACCACCCCTGCCTGGGAGGTGGGGGACGGAGCCAGTACACCATGGGCATGCTCCTGGCCCGCACTGCCAGATCTCTCATCCTGTGGAGTGGGGGCTTCAATCTGGCGTTAGCGGGGCTGGGAGGCCAGGGGTGTGGGGGCAGGGGGCAGCAGCGCTCTGAGCAGCACCCCTCCTCACAGAGCCACTCTCCAGACCTTTCCTGGACATGGGAGAGGGCACCAAGAACAACATCATCACGGCCGAGGGCATCATCCTGCTGTTCTGCGCTGTGGTACCTGGGACACTGCTGCTGTTCAGGGTGAGCCCCCTGGGGACCAGGGCCCTCTGAGTCTGAGGTCACCTGCTAAAATGGGAGACTGACAGCACCCTCACAGTGCTGAGGGGGTAAATGAATTAGTACCATGACGGGAGTTTAAAGAGTGCGGGGGCCAAGAGGGGTATCTTGCCTCAGTCTCCCCTCAGGGCTGTCCTCAACCTCCCTACCCCAGGACATTCTCAACGCCCCCTCTCCCCGCCACCCCGCCGTCATGGTGTCTCACTCTACCCCACCCCCAACGGGGAGTGCAGTGGCCCTCCCTCCAGGGAAGATGGGGGCTGCGTGTTCCCCCAGGGGCCTCTCACCTGCACCAGCCCCTCTTGAGGCCACGGGCAGCCACTGCCATTTACTGTGATTGCTGTTATTCGTGGAAGGACAGTGGAGACAGCCGGGACACTGGCTTGGACCCAGGGACACCTGCCACTCCCCCGCTATGTGGTCTTGGCGTGCCCCTTACCCCCTCCTGGCACCCAGGAGGGTCTGAAAACATTCTCCCACAACCCCCCTCACCGAGGCTCCCAATTATCCACCCCCACCCCTAGAAACGATGGCAGAATTTGAAGTTCGGGGTGGACGTCCAGGATGACTATGAAGACGAAAACCTTTATGAGGTGAGTGGTGGGTGGGGACAAGTTAGGGGCAGGCGCCTGGGGGTTCTCGTGGGGTCCTCCCTAGGGTCATCCGGGGGCAGGGGCTCGGCCATCAGGGCGCTGAGGCCCGCCACCATGTGTCCACCCCAGGGCCTGAACCTTGATGACTGCTCCATGTACGAGGACATCTCCCGGGGCCTCCAGGGCACCTACCAGGATGTGGGGAGCCTCCACATCGGAGACGGGGACGTCCAGCTGGAGAAGCCTTGACCCTGAGGGCTGCGCCAACCAGCTGTGCCCCCCACCCACCCCTTCCTGTTCTCTTTTCACAAAATCTTCCCTGGGAGGGTCCTGACTCAACTTCCCCCTTGGGGGTATCCACTCTTTTTCCCTCTCGACTGTCCTCATCCCCTCCCCACACCCCAATTCAGTTCTCCCGCTGCCCGGCCCAGCCTCCCCCTACACCCAGCGGGTAATGAGCCCTTAATCGCCGCCTCCAGGGGAGCTGATTGTAGAGCCTCGTTAGTGTCACCTCCCCCTCCCTGCTCTGTCATGGCCACTTAGTGATAATAAATCCTTCCCAACTGCAGACCTTGGCAGGAGTCATGGATCTCATGGGGATGCCCCCCTCCTCTGGTGGGACCCAGGAGTCCAGGCCTCTGGCCTCCTCCTTCCTCAGACCCAGGATCCTGGGACCCCAGCCCCTACCCATTGTCCACACCTGGGACCAGGTAGCCAGCCTTGGCTGCCAGGTGAGAGAAACAGGAAGTGTCTGGGGGAGCATCTTGCCCAGGCTACATCCCAGAGCAGGGAAGAGACACAGGAAGGAGCCAGGTGACCATATTCATTTCTGCCTATTTAAGTCTCACAAACACAGCGGCCTCTCTGGTGGGGCCGGTACCAGACTCGGACTCTGATCACAGCCAGGCCGTACCTGTTCTCTGGCAGTGGCGTCCAAGCAGGGGGATTTGTAATCTGTGGCTCTGACTTGGGG